AATGTGTTAAAGATAAATGACTTGTGTATATTTTAATTGTTTTACGTTTTAGATCAGTTTCATAATCTTTGACTAAGCGATAAAACATTTGTTTATCATCACAATGGCCAACTAATTTTGTTCCATCTACAATCAATGATTTTTCAAATTTTTCCAAATCTTTTTGATTTGAAAACTGAAGAGATAAACTTTCCGATGTTCCACTATGACATTTCACTGAGGTAATTGTTTCATCGAGATTCATATTTACACAGTTATCATGATGTTCAGCTTCATATTCCATGAACGCATACGGTATTAAACCATCAGCCGTTTTATGGTCTGTTCCAATCCATTCAGCAGTATGTTTAACATGCTTACTTTTCCCATCACCAAAATTAATGCCAAATTGTGGGGCATGATCGAGCAAGAAACTTGACGGATGACGGCTACCGCTATGACTGCTATCTGACACTGTCAATACATAATACCAACAGATCAATAATAATAATATTTTATTCATAGTTCCTCTTAACCAGTTAATATGATAAGAAGAAACTTGTATTTCTAATACAATCTGGACTTTTTATATATGTCTTGCCATTTAATAGTACGCAAAAATCCTTGATCCGAAACAAAGCATAGTGCTTTTTATCAATGATTAATAAATAACTCTGATATCAAAGTATGTTATAGGTAATATGTCTTTTTCTCTCTTTTGCATTTTCCTTTTCGTGTTTGATTATCACGGTATAAAAGACTTTGTTTTATTCTGTTTGTTTTCACATCAGACGACAGAGCAGAGTGTGCTAAATAAATACTAATTAATCCAAGTCATATCTTAACACGATATTTTCCATTGTTTAGTTAGTTACTTACGTTTAATAATGTGCTGATTGACAATATATTTAGTTCCCTCAACTGCAACGTCCTTTCATCAATTTATTGTTTACTTTTATCAACGATATACAAAAGACCATCGCATTTTCGAAAATTCAAATTTGGAAAGACTGCACATTAAACTTCCTTTCCCCAAAACTCCGAATCAGCAATTTTGTTCAGTTTCGCACGCTCTTTCAAACGAAGTAAGAATGAAATCTTTTATTAAAGATTAAATGGAAAAAAAGTCATTCAGTCAGAAAATCAAAAAGAAAAAAATCAATCCAGCACTTTTGTCAGCTCTGATAGAGACGCATGACTTATATGCCGATCGGGATATAAAACACTATTTCTTTCAGTAAACTCTCAAAATGGGAGTAGTCTTTAATTAGCTTTAGAATCTATAATTATTTAGTACGCATACTATGTGAAGACAATGGGTGAAAACAGCAAAAATATCATAAATGCTGTACACAAACCACATTTATTTTTTGGATACGTCAGCACACAAACATGTTTAACACATGAGTGCTTTTTAATGACGAGGACACAAATGTTTACCGCAATGAATGTAGAACTTAGAACATTTGATGACTTTAATTATGGGATAAGTGAACTGCATTGATGGCGTGAGCTATTTCTATTTTTTATTATTATTGTACCCAATTCTTTTAGCAGATCAATTTACTTCTTACAATTGACAATAACACTGACATGACTACTTTAAGTAAGTATACAGACGTCATAAATTTTACTGCCAAACTTCCAGTGCAATTTCGGCAATATTACCCAACGTTCGAGCGAATTTCGGCAATGCCGAACATCCACTGGAATTCGGGCATCTTTGTCGAAAATCCTGTTGCCTGACGGCCAATTCAACTATTTGATATACAAGTGCGAATGAGCCGCTATGTACAATTGAACGAATGCAAGAAATCGCTAAGCAAAAGCATTTTGTTAAATCACGAGGTGAGTAAATCGTGAGTAATGGTATTTTAGTGTCGTATCAAATCTGTATTTTGATATTTGAAAAACTTTTTTCAATACTTGAAGGGTATAAGCTTTCGAAAAACACTTCACTTCAAAAACTTCTAATTATGGCAGCGAAACTAACGAGAAAACAAGATGGACCTTCTTTGGAAAGAATCTCTAGATTGAACTCTGGGACGTGGTTTTCTGAGATTTGTGTCTTGGACCCACTAAGAGATTAAGCGGCGAAGTATTTAATACAAAAAAACCTCGGCAAAGCATTGTTAAGTTTACTATTAACACAAGTGGAAGAGACGTGGAATTTCGAATGACACTTTATCACTCAAGTGACACTTAACTTAGAGGTACACACACCTAAAGTGAAATTTTTCCCCCTTAGTGAAACTATCTCACAACACAAGTCTATAGTTTATGAGACTAGAAGAAACAAACTGAAGTGTTATCTAGCTTAATTAGGAGGATATACTGATTCTGCTGGGGTTTAGTCCTCCGTCAAATGGATCTAAGCAGGCACGATAACTTGCTAAACTTGTGACTGTGTCAGCTTGTGCCCGAAGGGCACTTTGTTTTTTCTACAGGAGATGAAGCCAGATCGTTACTTACCGGAAGAGGAAAATCTGTGTGTTGATATTTGAAAAGATTTTTTCTAGTCCAAAAACTGAAAATAGTTGAATAGTATAAGGTTTCGAAAATCACTTCACTTCCTAAACTGCTCAATTTTTTCCTTCTCGTTTCTCGAAAGCATTTTTTTCAGCATTCAAACTGAGTGTGAGATTGATGCTTATGGAGGTTTCAGGTAAAGGTTTATACAGTATGGACCTCTTGGACTTCCGTTGGAAAATTTTCATAAACGATTTTGCGAACATATTCAGTTTTATTCTGGAAAGGATGGAGCCAAGTCTTTTACTTCATTAGAACCTCCATTAAACGAGCTTCAAAAGTCGTAACTTTGCCCATATTTCTCAATTTTCTCCATCAGGACTCACCTTTTATGTAATACAAATATCATATTCGCAGGTCAGCATAAAAAGCTCAGTCGAATGGTGTACCTTGTCTAGCCTTTTCGAACATCGTACAGCTTTTGAATTTTAACCTCAAAACATGACTTAGATTTCCACACCAAAATGAAAATCAACGAAAACTTCGGAAATAGATTTTCTTGACGTCAGAATTAAGACATGCCTTAAATCAGTTGGACAGAAATTGAGAATTTCTGATATACTACCGATGCTTACACTCTTGATCGAGAAAAAAATGAATTGTCTCACGAGCGCAGCCAAATAAGGCAAAAATGATGCGTGGTGTTAAAGCTCATTATATCGCACTTCAAACGAAGTAAGCTCGGTATCATTCCTTCGCAAAGTGAACTAGATATCTTTCTTGAAAATTTTCCCACTATAGTCAATGACCTCCATACCGCATAGATCTTTTAGTTCAATCCTCATACTATTACTGCTATCGAAATCGTTAGCGTTTGCAATCTTTTATTAGCTCAGAGACGTCTCATTTTCTTTAGAAATGGTAGCTCTACACGATCGACTTGTTTGGAAAGACTTTCTAGATTGAACTCTGGGACTTGGTTTTCTGAGATTGGTGTCTTGCACCCATTAAGGGATTAAGTGGAGAAGTATTTAATACACAAAAACCGCTACGACGCGTCGTTAAGTTCGTTCAGTTTCTGAAGAAAATACTTCTGAGTGAAAATAGGTGCACACCAAAGACGTTTTCAGTAACACATTTTTCCGAACGTATTATCCATCGTTGGATATGAAGCATCGAGCTCATTCAGAAAATCTGTATTTTAATATTTGAAAATTTTTTTTTCAAGTCCATAAAGTGGAAATACTTCAAGGGTATATGGCTGTTCAATAACAGTAATGCTGCTGTTCAAACCATTGGCGCTTCGAATTTAGTGTTTGGAATCTTTTATGCATACTGTGTAAAGAGCATGAGGGAAATACCTGTACACCAAAGACATTTTCTGTTCCCACAACGTCAGCACACAAGTCTGTTTACACACAGGTGCTTTTCAAGGCTGAGACGAATAATGTTTATCGCAAGGATGCATTTTGATCAGGGACATTTAATGATTTTAATAGCTCTTCTGTCATGCAATGTAAATAATCACATAAATACGCTGTTAAATGCATTCACATACGTGACGCCTTTGTAAAATTATATGATCGCCATAAAATGAAGGACAAGTACTTATGTGTTTTTCTCGCGAATGTATTAGAAGTATTTACGCCGAAACTAATGTGAAAGACATCCCAGTGTGTGCACGCATACAGAACCTATTCTTAAATTATGACTTCTTCCACAATGTAGCACAAAGCCATTACACGTAAACAGCCATATTCGCATCTAACCAAGGTTTAAATGCTGTTATCCATCTCTACAGAAATTGTTTTTCTTCTGGAGGGTTAGATATAGAATTTCGAGTGACACTTTAGAAAGTGACACTTAACTTGCACGTGCACACACTTACAGCGAAATTGATAACATCGGTTTCTTCCCTACAAAACATGAAGTTCTCTTGACGAAACATCGGTTTCTTATCGAAAAAACATGTAGTTTTTGTGGAGAAACAACGGCTTTTTGTCGAGAAAATATGTAGTTTTTGTGGACAGACATGCATTTCCTCTGGACAAAACATGAAGTTCTTGAGGAAAAACATCGGCTTCATCGGTTCTTCTACAACACCTATACAAGTAGTTTTTGTAGATATTGTGGTGAAACATCGGTTTGTTGTCGAGGAAAATGAAGTTCTTGAGGAGATACACCGCTATCTTGTATAGAAAACACGTAGTTTTTGAGGAGAAACGCGGAGTTGTTGCGGACAAATCATGAAGTTCTTGTGGGGAAACATGCATTTCTGTAGGACAAAACATGAAGTTTTTGTCGGGAAACATGCATTTTGTCGTGACAAACCATGAGGTTCTTGCGGGGACACATCAGTTTCTTGTCGAGAAACGACTTTTTTGGGGAAACATGCTTTTGTTGCGGACAAAACATGGAGTTCTTGTGACGAAACATCGGCTTCGTCGGATATTCCACAAGAGCTTTTCGTAAAACATAAAACAATTAAAATATACACAAGTCATTTATCTTTAACACATTTATTTAAAAATGCTAATGTGAGATTTCATACAAATCATGTGCATCTATTAGGTTCTCATTCTGAAAATGTCAAAGCGGCATCC